TTTATATGCAGTCTGGATGTAAAGAGAATGCCATTTGGTGGTCCTTGAATGACCTGTCCTGGAATGCTACAGCTGGAGGTAAAACCCATCAATTTACAACCTCCTCCTTTCTGATTTTTTTTAGAAGTTTCTCATCTGGGGACAGAAATTTTCACTTCAGATGCTTTTGATAGAGCAGCTAAAATTTAGGTCAATTTTGTTTGCCAATATGGAGGGAAACATTTCCTTTCTGGCTTCAAAAGCATGAAGATATTTTTGAAGTGTCTTTTGGTATGTATAGTGATTATTAAGAAAAGATTTTAATTTTTTAATTTTAAAATTATTATATAAGAAAATCAGAATAATGCAAATAAAACATTAAAACAATGAAAATATAATCATTCACTGAGACACTACAGAAATCTCTGCATATCTGTCCAAATAAGTCACTATCAGGGAAACAAAAAACTCAACAGCTGCCTTTTATTTCCTGGCAATATCGCTGAAGGACGTAAGACTCTCTTGATTAACTCAGCCTAAACCGATTTCACAAACATGACAGTTCACATATTAAATAATTTAGTAAATATGAATGTGATTTTATTGATTCAGTCAACATAATGAACTGCAGTTTAACATTCTTTCCTGCTTACAAACTGCCTTATTCATTTACCCAATATCTGATGGGGACTTGAAAAACAATGAAATAACCACTTCATTTTCTCAAAAGTAATTAGAAAGTCTCAATTTAAAAATCAAGTATATTATTTCTTAAGTATTTTTTTTCCTAGTAGACGTGAGATTAGATAATTTTCATACAGCTAGGAAAAAAAAATTGATATTGTATGTTTTAAATTTCATATTACCAGGAGGAGAACTGTAGATTACTAAATACTTCAGAAGCTATTTATTCTTGGTAGCCAGTTTGTATTTCTTTAGACCCAGGAAGAAAAGCAGATATCCTTCATCTGTGATAGGCCTTAGGAAATAGTAAATTAATTTACTATCGACTTATTTTCATAACTGATAGCAGAAAAATAGTCTCAGCATACACAGAGGTACACACAGCTAACACTTAAGGGATTTCCCTGGCTATTGTTTTGGGAAAAAGCCCTACATCTCTGAACCCTCTCACTTGCAAGTGTCAGTAACGTTTTCTAAGAAATCTGAAGAGACTACAGCCTCAGATACCCACACTGGCTTTGTACTGAAGGTTAATGCCCTGTTAGTATGAGTAGCAGAACACTTGGGCAGACTCATACAGGACATCAAGGTAAAGAAAGAGCTGAAAGACTGATAATTGAAATAAATAATTCATAAAGGAGGGAAACACAAGTAGCATAGCCCAAGGAGAAAGTTATTGGGCTAAAAATTAACTGGAAAACTTTTGGAAGTTCAGTGAAAGAAGAACTTAATTTTTCTTGTTAATTCTCCTGTTAAGAAAAGCAGGATTTTCCACATAGACATCATTGCTTCAAAGGAGCATGACTTCACCACCAGTTTATTCATCCAGAAAAGGCAATCAAAAATCCCTTCAGGGGTCCAAATTTTGGCTGAGCATGAGGTTTAAAAAATGCTAATATTATTTTTCTTAACATAGACTTATCCTTTTCTTCAGGTACATAAAACTTTGGCATAAGCGTTTTTGAAAACAGCATAACATTAGAAATCTGTGTAAAGTCAGTTAAGATCTTGAAGCTGAACAAAGAAACATAATGGAACATATTTTGTTTTAGAACTATGTTTTTGAGCCTTGTTCTTTTTCTTTTTATTGTATTTACACACCTACCATATGTGAGCCAGTGCATCATTCAGGAACTTCACTTAATGTATAAAGGATTCAAGGTCTATGAAATGTTACAGAAAAACAGTCTGGAGCTGTAGTAGGTAGAAGTGGTTTGGAAATTGTATGGAATATTAAGTTATGAAAACAACAGGAAATCTTAGAAAAAACATAGTTTGCCCTAAAAGAACCAGTAACATTCCTGAGTATTAATTTTCTGATAACTTTGGATTGTTCTTGCAAATTACAGTCTGATGTATTAAGAAAAACTAAACTTTGTGCTGGTTATGCTTAATATACCATGCTGCAATCTGGAATTCTGTAACAGTTCAGCAATCTGTAATTCTGTAATAGTTCAGCTCCTTCACAAGGAGCTGAGCTTTTCTTCCAGCTGGGAGCACCAGCTCCTGAGAGAGGGCGAGGCACCCAGGGAAACCATAGTCTGGCTGCAGTGGTTCACTGAATAAAACCCACTGCTATAAAAGAAGGGTGTCGGGTTGCTTAATCTGTAGGAAAATAACACATCTGCTCTCTGTGATCTCAGGTATTTCAGACGTCTGATACTGAGAGGAAGGCTGGAAGGAACTAGGCATATCTATGTCTGTGCTTGTCACCTTCATCTCTTACAGCAATGGCAGTTTTATTCTGGGTTTTTTCTAGTCTTTAAACATAGGAAAAAAAGTATTTGTAAGTATGCTTCCTGGAGATCCATCTCCTTAGAAAAATTATTTTCAAATGTAATTCTAATGACTTAAATTAAAATCTTACCTTGCTTAAAATTTAAATAACATGAAATTTAGGATAGAGTCATGCTTTTTTCTTTCTTTTTTTATTTTTTTGGTCTAACTTTCAGTTAAAAAGGAGCCAAATTCAAATTTCCTTGATTGACTGTTAAGTAGTTATTTCCAAATAGGTTTTAATGTGTGTATAACAGTTAAATAGAGATAAGATAATCTCTCTATATGCAGATATTAAAAAATAAGTACTTTAAGACTCAAGGAAATGAACACTCTGCCTCTGCACAATTAAATGCATTTTTTAGACAGGAGGTACTGGTGTCTGCAGTTGAAACAACAGCATTACAGAAATTCAGGCCAGGAAGAATGGATCTAATATAAATCCCTCTGAAATCAATGAGAAGCTTTGCTTTAACTCCTCTAGGCTTTGGCTCCAGCTCCAAGTAATTCTTCAAATTGGACTTTGGCCACTGATATTAACACCATCTGCTTACAAAAAAGTATCATGAAGTCTTTAATTAACACAAATCCTGAAGGCCTCAGTTCTATGTCTTATCCATAAAACGGCATCTTTGTGAGTGCATTGTTAATGCATACTTTGCTGAGAACCTCATTGCCTGCCACCTCATGGAAATATTGTCATCTACTGCATTGCCAGCGCTACCTTTTCCAAATGTGGCCAATTCTCAAAGCCATAGATTTTCCAATTGAAATTCATATGCAAACATATGAACCAAGCTTGATTTTTATTTATGATGTTGGATAAAAGCAATGATATGCAGCAAATACACGGAAAAGGAGGAGTAAGGGGTTGCGTTGTTTTGTTGTTTTGTTTATTTTTTTTTTTTGTTAAAATCAAATTTTAAAGAGACAAAATAAAACACATAAAAGGGAAAAAAGAGTGTTATATCTCTAAAATTCTGACCTAGAGGGCAGGATAATCTTACAGTTCAGAATTTTGTTTCCCACTATTTTTCTATTTTCACCTTTTTACAAAAATCATCAAGGTAAAACTTTTAACCTTCATTTTCCTCAGTTTCCCCTTCTGTGAAATGGTATTAATGCCCGTTGATCTGACAGTTGTCAGAAATTTGCCATCCTAAAATACTGCTTTGATGTGTTCAAAGAGAGACAATATATCAGTCTGAAAATCCTTGACATTATTTCATACGATCTTAAGGCGTAGATAGTCCCACATGTTATGCTGTTGCTTTTTTGCACACCATTGTCATTAAGCATGAGTTTTGCAGCACAGGCTACTTTATTGAAATCGAGTAAGTCATAGTCCCTTTTGCACCTATAACTCACACTTTCAAGCCAAAAATAAGAAAGATGTGTCTGTCACAAGACGATGAGTGTGTATGGAGAACTTAATATTGTTTCCTTATTGTAGGGATTAATGAAGTGCTGGCCTGGGCCCTGCACAGCACTTAAGGACATGTTTAACTTTAAGAATCTGAGTAGACTGATGGATTTCCATGGGAATACTGATGTGCTTAAAGTATGTGTTGGTGGCATGAAGTCATATCCTTCAGTACCTTGTGGGTCATGCTACATTTGTTTGCGAAAGTGAAGGAACACATTCAGATGTTACTTCTTCCACAGGGAATCTCTTGGTTCTTCAAGACTGGGAGCCTCAAACATCTTACCTTCCTGATTTCTCAACCTAAATTCATATATGTGGTCTTTCTGCAATACATAGGATCAAGGTCTACACTGGTATTTTAATATTAATTGTTCTCCTATTCTGGGTCAAAAAAAAATTAAATTAGTTATGGCTCTAAACAGCTGACTTCAGGAGCACTGATTTTTCTAATTTTTTTTCCACTGATTGTATCTAGCAACTTTTATGAATGTAGATATGAAAATAATTAAATAATTCTCTGAAAAAAATAACTTAAGCAAGCAGGTCCCTTGCCCCAAGTCCATAGACTGCTCAAAAAGCAGTCCCTCATAGGTAGGAGGGCACCTCATAGGCACCTCAAAGGCAGTACCTCATAGGCAGGAGGGCACCTCATAGGCACCTCAAAAGGCAGTACCTCATAGGCAGGAGGGCACAAGCTCCCTCCTTCCATGGTTCTACATTGCTGCCTTAGCAGATCCATGCTCACATCTGTGTCAGATTGCAAAACTGAACAAGTTTTCCACCTCCATGTGCCATCTCTGGGATGTTCTTTGGCACCTCCAGGGTACAGCTTGAGTCAGAGGCACAGACCTTTGCATTCAGAAGGAATGTTCTATGTTCACATCTCTATGTAGACAGGATGCTCTGTTTATCTATTTACATAATGACTTCTGCTGGTGCCTACTCTGCCATCTGCCTGCAAGTTTCATATTAGTTCTTTAACAGAATTTACTAAATGCACTGTGTAACAATTGCAGTACAGTTATTAGTGTGCATGATTAAGGGGAATACAGTGTGCAAGAGCAGACTTCCTTGATGAAGAAACACTTAAGATTGCTACTGTAACTTACTGTGTTTCTTTTTTTTTGTTTTGCAGTTTTACTAAAAAATGTAAAAAAAGAAGAAGAAAAGCCTTTCAGAGACTGTGCAGATGTATACCAATCTGGTTTTAACAAAAGTGGGGTCTACACTATTTATATAAACAATGTCTCAGATCCTAAAAAGGTATATACTTGTTTTATTTTCTTATTTGTTAATATGATATTGCTTGGCCGTAAAGGAACTTTTGGAGCCTTTATTGAAGTTCTTATTCTGCAAACTATTTTATAGTAGGGGCTGCATTTCATATTGAAAAAAAATACATTAGAGTGAAAAAAATGGTAAACTATTATTCCAGACATTCTTCTTTCTTCCTGACAGAGAATCCTTCCTCAGTTCCAACATACACTCCATAACTGACTCACTTCCTCCCACTTGGCAGGTTCACTTGAATCAAACTAGGGCTGCAAATAAATCTATGATAAAGTTTAGAAGAGTATTAGTAAAGTGCAATAATGAGGAAGATGATGGGAGGGATTATCTGGTAGCACAGGGGAAGAAATAACAGAATGAACAGGTTTTAAAGGTAAAGATTTTAAAAAATCCTGTTTCTCTTGTAGGGAGCAGGGGAGAGTGGTTTTGGCTGTAAAGAATGCTGAATGTTAGCACTGTTTGAAATGATGAAGCATATATAATCCTACCCTTCTCAAAAAAGAAAAAAAAAAAAAGAAAAAGGTATCTGGGAGTTTTTGTTTTTTTTTTTGATAGAAATGAAACATTAGTCTGTAAATGTGACTGTTTTTTTTTGGAAGGCTCTGGTTGCTAATGTACCTGAACCTAGGAACATGAGAGAATAACCTAAGCCTAACTTATATGTGAAGGAATTCTGGCTGTCCTTCTGACGGGACACTATTAGGACCAGCCCCCCAAAAGGATAAGAGCTGATTAGCTGGGAGTGGTATCCAGAAAGTGGGCTGAACAGGAGAGAGGCAACCACATCTATCTGGTGAATTTATTCTTACTGAATAAAATGGTGATACTGCAAACAGAAAAAAACAATAACAAATATTACCAATGTTATTGTCTCTAGTTATTTTATGATGTTATTAAGACATGTAAAACATATTTCTAAGCTTAATTTGATTTTATTAGAGGCCTTTTGAAGCCTGTAAATGTCAAATATTATATTTTACTAAGGAATTAGAGTTCATTATAATGTCAGTAGAATTGGGATGAGAGAGTGCTATGGGCAAAGATTAATATAAATCTGGTGAATGTGAACGGAAAAATAATTGACCAGACATAAAATACAGACACTTCATTAAGCATTACTGAACAGGACAAGAACAATATAAGCAGTTCTGTAGAATCTGTTCAATTCCAAACAGAGATGAAACATCAAAGTCCAAATTGCATTGAAAGCTTGCGATGTTTTTTCTTAGCTTTATTAAAGCTCATAAGCCATTCCCAAAATGCTGTGTTACAATGAAAAACAGTGGCTATCTGAACACACTGTGGCACTTATGCTTCTGGTGTATTTACTTTAACCCGCTTCACCAATAATATAAGGACACTATGGAAGACACTCAGTCTCTATCTCTGCTTGCAGACACTGCTGTCAATTAATACAGGCAACACAATTCAGCTGATATCATTGCCTTATTTTTTTTCCTGAAAGATTCCAATTTTAGCAAGAAAATGTGGGAGAGTGCGTGTGTGTTGAGGGCATTTCTGCTACCACCTGTTTCTTCCTTGCCCTAGTGATAACACAGCAAGAGCTGATCCTGGGCACATTCATGTTAGTCAAGTGAGGAATGTGATTGCTTTAACAGATGGTTTTTTAGACATTAAGATCGCATTAACAGTCTGCAAGTTAGTGCTGTGCAGAGATAGCTGAAACAACTTCAGCTGAGGTAGCTTCAAAATCACATGAATGCAGCCCTCTACCAGTAATAATTAGCCCAGAGGTAGCACCATGCTGACAGTGTTAGATTGATCTGGATCCCAAGCTAATATCCTGATAGGTACTTCATGCAGACATACCCTCTTGTTCAAAACCAGCTTATTTATCTGGATTACCACAATGCATTGCACAATCCTGACATGTTTTTAGAGGCCTAATATATTGTTATCATCTGTAAAACAACCACTGGCAGCTGTCTCATTTATAGTAATTTTATACTTCAGGTCACAAAAATTTCCTTTTACGTTTCCTGAGGGATAGTTACTAGAATCCTGACATCCAATAGGGGATTGATTGATGGCTTGGCTTCGCAAGCAAAGATTTGGGAAGGGCTTTAACTGCACTTACTACAAGCACAATGACCAAGGGTATGTAGGATATGCAAATCTGGTTGGAAAAAAGGTGCTTAGGTAGTCAGGAAGTGTCCCACCAGGGCTCTCATCTCCTGAGCTATCTTGAGCTACCCATGCGCTGGTCCGCCCGCATGCAAGGTTGGATCTGCAGCTTCCCATGCACCTTGTCACCTATCGTTTCAACCCTCACCCGTCCATACAGACAAGTGAGAGTAAGCCCTTCCAGCTTGCGCAGTGGATTTTTTAGGTGAAGCGCAGCTTGCACAGAACTGCCCCCACCCTTTACACCTGAGATTTAACTGCCACAGCCCAGCTAGCTAGGACAGTGACAGCAAAGTCCACAGGTCGTAGGTTTTGATATCTCTTTGTCATATATACATATGTTACTGTCAGTTTGTTTTTTTTTTCTGCTGATTTTACTGTCATATAGTCATAGAAAATTATCCTCTGTGCTTCCAGCTCCGTAGCGTTTATATGCATTTAGATATGCATACAAATTTAGATTGCACTTTTTCTTTCATATTCCTAGCTTCAGAAGTTCATTAGTTTAGTTTATTAGTCTTCCAGCCCTGAATCAAAAATTAGTGATCCATTTGTGCTTAAAAGAATCTTAATAATCCATATTTTGAGATGAGAAGAGAAAAAGGTAGGCTTATTAAGCTAATTAATTGGCTTACTTTGGTGTGTGTGTGCGCGCGCAATGCCTAGTGGTGTTGACAAATAATTGTCCCTAGGCCATAGTGAGAGCAAAGGCAAGAAGAGTCCTTTCAGTCCCCTGAAGACCTGGTTTCAGCTACCAGGCTGAAATGAGCAGAGGAGCAATGGGAGACAGGTTGTCACCATTTTGGAGCTGAATGTACCATGTCACCTTCAGGATATAAAGTAGGCCAGAAGGACTGGTCTGAGCACACACAGAATCCCTGTATCTTTCCTTGGATCAGCATATTTGACTCTCCTACTGTCTCCCCTAATACCCTCACAGGCATAACTTCTAAAAACTTCTGGGTGCAGTGCACTGAAAATGTAACATTATAATTGCCGGTGGGGTCTATATATCTGGGGTTTTTGTGCTCTGCAAAAGGAATTCCACTGCTGTCACGAATGCAGCTTCACTCCTTCCCCTCTACTTCCTGCCTGTGGACATCCTAACAAATTATCGTTGATGGTGTCTCTGAGCATAACTTCCAGAGCTTTAAACCATTAAATGTATGCTAGCCCCATATACTGTGGAAACTGTCATCCCAACACAGTTAACTTCAGGCTTCTGCGCAGCAGAGACACGTTGCCTGAATGTCAAATGATGGTCTTGAGCTTGTTGCTCTATACCAAAATATAAACTAGTGATATATCTAAAATATGTATAAATAATCCCATACTTACCTTTTAGGAGCTTGAGTACTTTTCCCTTAAAATTTGCATCTAAGGAAGGGCAAGAGTGCAGTGCTTTAGGTGCTCTTTTAACCTATATCAGATTATTTTATTGACAATAAACTCAGAATCTAGAGATGAATACAAATTCAAAGTCACTTTTTTTTCATCCTTTTCTTTTTTGGTAGAGGGTTAAATAGCAGAACATGTTAAAAGGTGTTTAATGGCTGAGTGCCCTGACTTTGTCTGGGACAGAAGCCAGTCCAGGACATTTGCTGGCTAGAGCTACCCACACTGAACATCTATAATCAGCTTGGCACTCTTGTTAATATGGCAGGTGTTTATGTCTACCAGTGTAGAAAGTGCCAGACCACACAGTGATGGCTTGTGAATAATGGACTGCTGATAAATCTTTCATTGTGCATTTTTCAATTTTAATTTGCTATAATTTTCAGAAAACATCAAAGCCTTTTTATAGGTATTTTGTTATATTTTAGTATGAAAAACCTATTATTTGTTTGTGCACGTCTTTAAAATGACTAGTCTTAATACAGCTGAGGATTTAATGCTTTAAAAATTGGCAGTGGATTCATGGGAGCTTGAAATGACTTGAAAGTAAATCCATCATTTAGAAATTCTCACTCTAAATCAGACTAAAGAAATTAAATCCGGTAGATAAATGTTTTCACTCACAGTGTCTTTCCTGAAGGAGGAATAGGGCCGAAATATTTGTCTAGGAAACTGTGGGCTTTCTTGTGGTTACCCTTGAACAAGTTCACATGTTTGCACTGTTCAGCATTCTGTTTCCTTCCTATACCTACACGGGAACTTCACTCAGCATGCCTGCAGCAAATTAAAAGAAAAGCACTTGCACAGGATGACTGAACAATGCTTATGAGTAAGAAATGCTTATGAGTCAGAATTGCTTTGCCTGAGGGTAGAATATTGTTCTTTAGTCAACTGCGGAATGAATTTTTATGTAACTGAATAGTAACCTTCAATTTGACAAATCAACTTAAAGCTTTCAATTACAAAGCAGTGCTGAATGGATCAACTCTTAATGCAAATGTCCAAAGCTAAGCCAATGGGTGATAACTCTTCAACCCTCTTACATATTGATGTCTTACTTATAAGGAGGGAAATAACATTTCAACAGCACAGGCAAATTAAATTTAGGATAGTTGCAGTGCCAATATGGCACTGATGAGTGCATGGGAATGAAAATCAGGGAAAATTTATTGAACAAGTAACACAGAGAAATGGATCTTAAAATCAAGTGTCATACAAAAATAGGAAAAAAAAAAGACTACTACCACTTGCCATATTCCAAGAAAAGTGAATTAATAAGCAGTAATTGCTTTTTTATCATTTGTCCTCTATTTTTGAAAGGATAATGTAAGAAGAATGAAAATGAATGAAAATTAAATATACATTTTTATTATTATTGTTATAATTCAAAGCAAAACATAATAATTGTGCTATATTTCGGACTTCCTGAATGTGTATTTTCTGTAAGAATTCCTGAAGGTTCTTTCTTAGGCAGAATGACACTGTTAAATAGAAAACATTATTATCACTGAAACACTCCTGTTTGTTAAGAGGAAGTGAGTGGTTGTAGGGATGCTGCAGAAAAAATAGAAAAGGAGCACAGAGGTAATGTGAAGAGGAAAGCTGAGGATGCAGAGGGAGATGATGGGGAGATGTTCTTGAGTAATGTGCTGAAAGCAAACATTGAGAGAATTACACTGAACACAAGGAGAGCTCTGTAATCAAGTGATTGAAGATAACATCAAGGGCATAGGCATGAATCCATAAGAAAATAAGCTTCCTTAGTTCTGTCATTCACAAATAGTTCTCTCTCTACTTTTTCCTCCTTAAGATTACAGAATTCCAACACAAGTTTTGTTTGTTTTAATTTTTTAATTTTATTTTAATTCTTGCATAGGTCTTTTGCAACATGGAAATTGCTGGAGGAGGGTGGACGGTCATACAGCACAGAGAAGATGGAAGCCTGGATTTTCAAAAAAGCTGGAAAGAATACAAAATGGTAAGGTGAAGAATGTGGAATAGTTGTACAGTTCGTAGACATGTTATATTTCAAATAGTACTTCCCGTTATCTTAAACAGATAGATTGTCTACAGTGGTGTGGTGTGGTCCTGCAGTCTTTCATGAGCTTTTGTCATGTCTGCTACTTTTGAAAACTATATTATTTTTACTCAGTTAGTGGAGTATTATTTACCATGACTTAGGGTTTCTTTCAGATCAGTTACTGAAATTAAAGTGAGGTTAGGCCCAGGCATATGCACTAAATAATATTGTCGTCTGTCCTTCTGAAGTTTTGACTTGCTGTGTCATTAAGGGGTAATAGGCATGTGATGGTTTTCCTAATGTATGGATGTTCCCAGCTGAGGGGAACACTTTCAAAACTTGAAGCATCTCAGATAGAAATGAAAAGTTTTATTGGGGCTTATCCCACGTCATACAACACGTCTGCCAATCAAACTAATGTACTGGAAATGTTGATACTTTGAAAAAGATTAAAAGAAAATAAATAACTTACCAAATTACAGATGATATGATTTCAGCTGGCTCTTTTTTCATTGCCAATTCAAAAAAAAAAAAAAATTTACTCCAATCTAAATAACTCCTGATTTTTTTTTCATTTGGTGAATGCTCAGACTTTCTGATGGACCTCTTTGAGTCCCTGAGGACTGCTTTGGATTTCAGTGACATTCCCAGTTAAGTTTTCAGAACTGTGTTATCAGCCTGGAAGAGGATAATCTTTCTTCCAGCAGTTTTCAGAAGGCACTAAATGAAGAGAGGATATAAAATGTTTAAATATAAAAGCAATTTTAGTTCAGTAAAAAGTTCTGTTACAGAACATACCATTTCAGAAATAGGTACAATATTAGATTATTGAAGCAAAACGTCATGTTGGATTTAATGGATGCTTCCTTTTCAATATTTTCATATTACTTGAAAGCATAAATTATAGAGATAAAAACTAACCATCTGGGTCAGGTCTCTGCTACTATGGATAACCAGAGGATGTAATATATTTCATAATTTGTAATGTTTTAATTTAGCAGGAAACTTGAAATATGTTTTATTTTATTTTAGTTCAGAGTCAAATAAAATATTAAACATCAATTTATTTTGGGGAAAAAAAAACTTTGAAAATTCTACCAGTTCTATTTATGAGAAAATCAGGATTTGTATATGCAACCTAAGTTGTTTCCTATACATGGGCTGGTTTAATTTATACATATTGTACAAATTATCGAGACCTATTCAATTTTTCTCTCCTGTGCTTTTTCTTAGACCATTTAATGAAAATAGACCATATTTTTAAAGTTTTCCCATATGGCCTTTTTTCACATATATCCCTTCACTTACTCAAACATTTTTCTCAAATTTTCCTTTAAAACAGTGTGAGTCTGTTCAGGATCGATTATGTTGGGTTTGTCTAGTTCAAGCAGTCCAAATTAGTTTTGTTTCTCTTTAGGAATGCCATAGTCTTCTAAGAGATCACTTTTATCAAATAAAAAGGATCTGTTTTGGACTTTTACTGATAGTTATCCTATAAGTAAGTAATGAGAAAAGGTGGGATTTAGGCTTGTCTCTGCTTCTATGAATTATTTCATCAGGGTAGCTACACCCTGAGATTATCTTATGTCACCACATGTTGAATGATTGAGGCTGGTGAATGCTCTGTGATTTGTTGGAATATGTGACCGCGTCTGAGCTTCAAGGCAATGACACCACTGGTTTAATTCCCTTAATTAAATTAATTAGTTAATTTAATTCCCTTAATGAGAAGTTCAGAGATGGTGTGTGATATCTATTGGATCACATTCCTTCTTCTTCCTAATAATCTACCTGGCATTTCTTCCAATGGGAAACTGGGTAGTGTGATGAGGAGCACAATGGTACTTGGTCTTACTTGGATTGATTGAACTTAATATATGTTCTCTCAGGCCATAGTTCAGATACAGGTTTTCAGATTTGCTAAGACATTTTTTTGTGCTTGTATCTCACTAGGGCCCCCGATTCAACAGAAATAAACCATATAACAGCAATAAGTCGTCTCTGGGCCTTTAGTTTCAGTGCATTTACTTTTTATTGGAAAAGAATATGGAAAACTGTAGAAATTATTCTGTTACAACTAATTACGGATTGTCAGCTTCTAAGCTGGACCAGGACTCACGCGACCAACCTGCAGTACTGCTAATACCATCACAAATTAATGGCTGTTCCAGTTTAGGAGGCCATTGCACATTTTCTCTGACTCTCAGCTGAGATCCTTATAGCAGGTAACGTAGGAAGGGTGAGCATGGAGTATCCTCTGGGAAGATGAGTGACATTGCTGCTGGGTTACAGGAGTGCCCTGGCAACAAGGACGTAATCATTGTCTTTGATTCAGTTTCATGGTGGTGACTTCAGCTTACATGGAAGTACTTCAATTACTGTTTAATGTATTTTCCGGACACCAAAAAAGGAAACAGGTTAAAAGAGAAATAAAGCATCAACAAATCTTCCGAAAGTAGGAAATTTACAACATACATACATTAATTGCCACAATGTCAGTGATACTACAGTAATAGTGATACTTTTTCTTCTTGTTCTTTTGGATCCGTTTCCCCTGACATCCAATCTCCACTCTGTAAAATGAAGTTACCTTTCTTTGGTAACTAAAGCAGTAGCTAATGAATACAAAATCTTTTATGCAGGCTTATTGTTGTGCCAGATTGGTTATGGCATCTTCTTCCTTAGAGGCATATGTGCTTATCAATATTACCCAGTCTTGTGCTGTGCCTTTGTGCCATTGGGCCATTTCAGTTTTGTATTGTTTGTTCCAATAATAATTGGAAGAAATTCAGAGGAAACCCTGTGAGTTCATCCTCCCATACTTTTCTTATCAGCTCCTACTACATCTGTTCTTTCACATTTTGCAGTGGATTTTCCATGATACTATTCACTGCTTATCAGAAAAATATGAAATGGAGCAACAAATAATTTCTTTGACAACAGCAGCTAAGATCACCCTGCAGCAGATTTCAGCCATTTTTCATTTTTCCTTGCCTGAAGAATGAATGTAAAACACTATTAGAGTTTTGACCTCTAGAAAGGGAATATAATTTTAAGAACTATTATTTACCATCTGTAAACCTGGGCTGCTTTTAGAAGGGGTATTTACACAAGCTTACTTTCTAAGACACAGTTTCTGGCATTAAATAGGCAGTCATTATCAATAATCAAATCCAAGCAGATTATCAGCTCATGTGATAACTTGGCTATCAAGAGTTCTTTCTCAGTTTCCAACTTTTAGTTCTTGGATAAATGAATCTTTCCCAGTTACTGTCTATTTTTGCCAAATTAGATGGATTGTTGGATTCCCTATTCTTTAGAGTTTTAACATGTCTGGTTTATTAATTCCCATGAATTTCACCAAAGTTATTCCCCACTCAATAGCCCAAATTCACTATCAGTTTTCTAGAGGGGTTTTTGGGGGAACAAGCTTATTGGGGGCTTCCTCAGATCTTTATTTTCTCAGGCCTTTTATTTTCTTGCTTTCTGTCATTGGAGAAAGACTCTCAATAGGTATTTGAAATTGCGTGCCTTAGCCAGCCTGCAATAATTCTTTTCCTAACCAGGTCTGGTTGTTTGAATTGTTTTTTGTTTTTTGTTTTTTTTCCCCCCGTATGTCAGTATTCAATTGTACTACATGCTTTATTGCTACAATATTGCTATTTTCCTTTCTCTGATGAAAGCAAGCTATTGCTTTTTTAATCATTCACCATGTAATGAATTAGATTAGGATCACTTGTATGTGTTAGACTCATAGCTGAAATTCTCACAGCTTTATGGCAACCACCTCCCATCTTTCTAACTGGCAGCTGTTTCTTCTTTTGGTTCTCTGGGGCAAGAATGACATTCAGCAGTGAATTACACACCTCCTGAATCTCATTCTCCTGATTAATACCTAAGGGTCCAACATCAGTTCAGTGGTTAATACAAGTCTGCTGTCAATTTATCTCAGAAATCACCACTAGGATTTGTGTGTGCCTGAAAAGCACACCTACAAAACCACTACCATTTCTGTTGGAGTTTCTTTTACTTTTCTCTCAAAGCTGTTGGGTCAAAATGACGGCTAACTCTGTAGTGCCAAAGTGGTATGATGCCAGAGCAAGATGATTTATGCTCTTCTAAGGCTTAAATTCTGCATCACTGAAATCACAGAGGTGGTTAAAAGAATTTTCTCAAGTATTGCTGTATGAAGTTATAGTGGGCATTTACATTATATTATCTGGAATAATTTGACTTTCCTTTGAGCATCAGTAAATTTTAACTAGTATAACAAATCTGGTAATCTGTGTCTTCTGCTTTCCTAAAAGACAGCTGAACACCTCTTCAGACTTTGATTTCCTTCAAGGCTTGAGGGTTTTTATTTTTTCATATACTTCACAGAGTTCACCTCTGAGTAAACTCTAGTTTGGACACAAGTCCCACCCTTTTCCTGGAAGACCCTCTAATTTATGACAGTCAGGTTGCTGGTCACCTCATGTTTTCACCTCATCAGTCCTTGCAAGTCCTACAGACTGCAAGTTGGTCTTTGGGCATATAGATGTACTTGAATTATTCATAGAAAGAGCTACCATTCCAGCAAAGGTTTTATTTCTTAGCACACTCTTCCAGTTCATTCTGAAAAGTTCCAGATGTTATTTATATTTAATTTTTATTTGCAAAGTGTCTAGCTCCTGTTTCATAAGATGGCCTTTTAATTCCTTTTATGGTCTCCATCTGTTTTAAGTCTTATTTTAATTTATCTTGTGAAGGTTTCAGTTCCAGGTTTCGGTTTTATTATTCTTTCTGCCTACCTTTCCTGACTCTAAACTCTATATTGCTTCAGTAATAATACTAACTTTCACTTTTTTCTTTTTCAAAATAGGTCCTCACCACAATTAACATTGTGCTTGACCTGAGAAAAGAGGCAAAAAATCAAGCTGTTTTGCTGTTTCCTTTTGTAACATTAATTGATGATGGCT